GGGGGGGGGGGGGTGGTGGGGAGGGGTGGGGGGGGGGGGGGTGACAGCACACACTGTCAAGCACTGTCAAGCACTGTGCACGTGTCTCACAGTGCAAATTCTGTGCAATGAAGCCCGCCGTGTCTCTAACGCGCACACGTGCCAACCAAAAACCAAGCTCAGAATCGTCGAAGAGAGAATCGCGATGAATCAGAGAATCAATTTTTTTCTCCCACCCCTAGCAATTATGCTACTTTTTTTTTGTTGAATCTATAATACAGGACACATTAGTCGAGTCACCCATTGTAAAGGAACAGATTTTCAGATCATTTCACTCATTTTAAATAGGTCCTCTATTAATAGCTATCAAAACCAGAAAACACAATGACTTGTGCATTTTAATACACAAATGAATGTGATCAGATTTTCTTCAGTAGATGGAGTATTTTCTCTGGTGGTTTTGATGCATTGAGGTAAAACTGAAAAAAAATGTCTTAAGATTGAATCTTAAGTCTTAAGATTCAGTGATCTGTTAGACAACGGTAACAGAAGAATTAACAGCAACAAAAAACATAACATTAATCACACAAAATCTGTGACGTTAAACTGGAATTATAAATAAACTTTAAAGTTTGTCTTCTGTATTTCAGGGGATCAGGAAAATTTATGAAATCTGTGCAATCATCTGTCAAAGAAGAAGACAGGAAAAGACATGATTACATGATTACATCAAAACATTCATATTATATTATATTTAAACAGGCTTATTATTGGTAACTGAAATTAATGGTTTCATTACTTAAACTTTAAAGTTTGTCTTCTGTATTTCAGGGGATCAGGAAAATTTATGAAATCTGTGCAATCATCTGTCAAAGAAGAAGACAGGAAAAGGTGAGGTTACATGATTACATCAAAACATTCATATTATATTATATTTAAACAGGCTTATTATTGGTAACTGAAATTAATGGAAAAACATTTTCATTACTTTAAATAAACATTAATTGAAATAAAATATAAAACATTTTCAACTCATTTTATTTCAGCTAGTCGCCAATTTAGTTGTGATGTTCGGTTCTTGAACGAATCGTTCTTTTGAGCAGGAAGTAACGAAGTAACCGGTTGAGCCGGTTCACAAATCGAACTGAATCGAACTTTAGTTCCGGGTTGATGACACAGGACGAAGTAGCAAAGTAGCACGTCCAACTCGGTTCTTGTTGAGTCCTTGGTAACTCTCGGCAAACTTCGGCTCATTCGGTTCTTGTTGAGTCCTCGGTAACTCTCGGCAAACTTCGGCTCATTCGGTTCTTGTTGAGTCCTCGGTAACTCTTGGCAAACTTCGACTCATTCGATTCTTGTTGAATCCTCGGTAACTCTCGGCAAACTTTGGCTCATTCGGTGTTGAGTCCTCGGTAACTCTCGGCAAACTTCGGCTCATTCGGTTCTTATTGAATCCTCGGTATCTCTCTGCAAACTTCGGCTCATTCGGTTCTTGTTGAGTCCTCGGTAACTCTCTGCAAACTTCGGCTCATTCGGTTCTTGTTGAGTCCTCGGTAACTCTCGGCAAACTTCGGCTCATTCGGTTCTTGTTGAGTCCTCGGTAATTCTCGACAAACTTCGGCTCATTCGGTTCTTGTTGAATCCTCGTTAACTCTCGGCAAACTTCGGCTCATTTGGTTCTTTTTGAGTTGGACGTGCTACTTCGGCTGTGCGTCCTGTGTCATCAACCCGGAACTAAAGTTCGATTCAGTTCGATTTGTGAACCGGCTCAACTGGTTACTTCCTGAGAACCGGCTCAAAAGAACGATTCGTTCAAGAACCGAACATCACAACTAAATTGGCGACTAGCTGAAATAAAATGAGTTGAAAATGTTTTATATTTTATTTCAATTAATGTTTATTTAAAGTAATGAAAATGTTTTTCCATTAATTTCAGTTACCAATAATAAGCCTGTTTGTAAGACATAATGATATGTTTTTATTTTTTTATTATTTTGTTCTCTATCAGTTTGGATCTGAAGGCGTCTGGATGTGTAGCAGCTGTAAATCAGCCAGTGATTTCTTCAGTCAAACGTCTTGTATGACTCATTTACATCCTCTTGTGAATTAAAAGCTCTGAAAACACTCTTGTCGTTTTTTACTTTTTTAATACTTAGTGAAAGGCTGATCAGTAATTTTTAGGCTTTATTTAGTTATTTTTTGTCACAAAAAAAAAAGTCCAGTTATTGGTTTCCAAAGCAACTGAAACACATGTTATTTTATGCAATAATTTGCGTTCTTACTGATCTTGATCAACTAAAGCAAGCATCTCCTCCTCATCAGAGGACCTCTGGAACATCTCAGTGATGCTCGGCTGATGAGGGTCCTGACAAACAGGGGGGAAAAAAGCACTTTTTACACATTTCTCCAGCAATTACAGATGTTTAATAACTAAGCTCATATATAGATTTAATTCAATCGTAACCTTTGCAATGGGATAATCGCAGTAAGTCACATCATAATTTCAGTTTTAATTCGGATAAGCATGCAGCACTACACTGGACACTTGTATGCAGGTGGACATACCTGTTTGGCATCACAGTAGCGTGTGCTAAAGTCATGGAAGCGTGGAAAGAGGGAAGGCCTCACAGCCAGGATCTGAGTGTAGAGCTCTGCAGGCGTTCCCGACAGCAGGATTACAACATAAAATAAGAACTTCAAAAATTACTGTTGTAAAATTTCATTATAAAACAGAGTATTCAGAAAGAAAGAATATAAAATAAAAACGTAAATATAATAATACAAATAATAATAAT